GGTATGTCATCTCACCCTTCTACAACCCATATTTCACTTTCATAGTGGACAACATCTCCACCTTTTGCTTGCCATCTCTCTTACTTTGATATGCAACAACCACAAGGCGAACACATGTTGCCCTCTCACATAAGATTGGCATTCCATTCAAATGTTGCATCATTGCCAACTTTGCCTGAATAAACAACTCAATCCTGAGCATGACTTCAAATTCGTGAAAGGGTACAACCATCAATTACAACCCCCAAAAAATTTGAAGAATGTTTAAAGGTTAACAAGAATGACAGCCGCACTTGGTAGGTTTACATCCCAAGCATTCGATAAATGCAAACCGTTCTTCTAGTCCATTAAAGGAAATGAAGGTACAATTTGGGATTTGCAATGTAAAGAGGCCTTCCGGAAGTTAGAAACCTACTTTGCTGCTATGCCAATCATAACTGCACCATTGTTTTGGACCCGATAGTCGATGCATATCCGCAGCTAACCACCTTTCTTCTTTTGGAACAATAGTAAGACTCTATATGGCACCTTGGGGGGCTTCTTGTTGCGAGAACCAAGTAGTTCGTTCAACTACCTCCTCTATTCTCCTAGTTCCACATGCGACATCCAAAGGGGGCCCACTCAAGCTTTGAAGTAGGCTCCTACCCAATTTTGTGGTCAACTGCACGTGTAAGAAGAAAGGTCTAGGGGAGTTCATGAGGTATAAGATCATCAAACTCCTCAATAATTTTTTCCCCAACATCGGGCACTTCAACCTTTACGTTAGATCTCCACCAAGATCATGTGGTATGTCATCTCCCCCTTCTACAACCCATATTTCACTTTCATAGAGGACAACATCTCCACCTTTTGCTTGCCATCTCTCTTACTTTGATATGCAACAACCACAAGGCGAACATATATTGCCCTCTCACATAAGATTGGCATTCCATTCAAATGTTGCATCATTGCCAACTTTGCCTGGATAAACAACTCAATCCTGAGCATGACTTCAAATTCGTGAAAGGGTACAACCATCAATTACAACCACCAAAAAATTTGAAGAATGTTTAAAGGTTAACAAGAATGACAGCCGCACTTGGTAGGTTTATATCCTAAGCGTCCGATAAATGCAAACCGTTCTTCCAGTCCATCAAAGCAAAGGAAGGCGCAATTTGGGATTCGGATTGTAAAGAGGCCTTGAGGAAGTTGAAATCCAACTAAGCCGCTCTGCCACTTGTAACTGCACCATTGTTTAGGACCCAAAAGTCGATGCATATCCGCAGCTAACCATCTTGCTTCTTTTGGAACAACAGTGGGACTCTGTATGGCGCCTTGGAGGGCTTCACGTTGCTAGAATCGTGCAATTCGTTCAAATACCTCCTCAATTCTACCAGCTCCACATGCAACATCCACAGGGTGCACAATCTAGAAGCTTTGAACTAGGCTCCTGCCCAATTTTGTGGTCAACTACACGTCTAAGTAGAAGGGTCCTGGGGAGTTCAGGAGGTATAGGATCCTCAAATTCCTCCATAATTTTTGCCCTAACATCGGGCACTTCAGCCTTCATGTTAGATCTCGACCAAGATCATAAGGTATGTCATCTCACGCTTCTGCAACCCATATTTCACTTGCTAAGTGAACAAGATCTTCACCTTTTGCTGGCCACCCNAAAGTATGTCATCTCAGGCTTCTGCAACCCATATTTCACTTGCTAAGTGAACAAGATCATCACCTTTTGCTGGCCACCCCTCTTACTATGAGATGCTACAACCACAAGGAGAACGCTTGTTGCCCTCTCACCTAAGATTGGCATTCCATTCAAAAGTTGCATCCATGCTAACTTTGCCTTGATAAAGAACTCATTCCTGAGCAAGTCTTCAAATTCGTCCAAGGGTACAACCATCAATTACAACCACCAAAAAAATTTAAAAATGTTTCAAGGTTAACAAGAATGACAGCTGCACTTGGTAGGTTTATATCCCAAGGGTCGGATGAATGCAAACCGTTCTTCCAGTCCATCAAAGGAAAGGAAGGCGCAATTTGGGATTCCGAATGTGAGGAGGCTTTCAGGAAGATAAAAACCTACTTAGCCGCTCGGCCACTCGTAACTGCTCCATTGTTTTGGACCCGGTAGTCAATGCATATCCACAGCTAACCATCCTTCTTCTTTTGGAACAATAGTGGGACTCTGTATGGCACCTTGGAGGGCTTCACGTTGCCAGAATTGTGCAGTTCATTCAAATACCTCCTCAATTCTACCAGCTCCACATGCGACATCCAAAGGGTGCACAATCTGGAAGCTTTGAACTAGGCTCCTGCCCAATTTTGTGGTCAACTACAAGTCTGAATAGAAGGGTCTTGGGGAGTTCAGGAGGTATAGGATCATCAAATTCCTCCATAATTTTTGCCCTAACATCGGACACTTCAGCCTTCACGTTAGATCTCGACCAAGATCATAAGGTATGTCATCTCACCCTTCTACAACCCATATTTCACTTGCTAAGTGAACAAGATCTTCACCTTTTGCTGGCCACCCCTCTTACTATGAGATGCCACAACCACAAGGAGAACACTTGTTCCCCTCTCACCTAAAATTGGCATTCCATTCAAATGTTGTATCCATGCCAACTTTGCCTTGATAAAGAACTCATTCCAGAGCTAGACTTCAAATTCGTTCAATGGTACAACCATCAATTACAACCACCAATTTTTTTTTTAAATATTTAAAGGTTATTAAGAATGACAGCCGCCCTTGGTAGGTTTATATCCCAAGGGTCTGATGAATGCAAACCGTTCTTCCAGTCCATCAAAGGATAGGAAGGCGCAATTTGGGATTCGGAATGTAAAGAGGCGTTTAGGAAGATACAAACCTACTTAGCCGCTTCGCCACTCATAAAAGCACCATTAATTTGGACCCGATAGTCAATGCATATCCGCAGCTAACCATCCTTCTTCTTTTGGAACAATAGTGGGACTCTTTATGACACCTTGGAGTGCTTCGTGTTGCTAGAATCGAGTAGTTCGTTCAACTACCTCCTCTATTCTACTAGTTCCACATGCAACATGCAAATGGGGCACATAGTAGAAGCTTCGAACTTGGCTCCTGCCCAATTAAGTGGTCAACTGCACGTCTAAGTTAAAGGGTCTTGGGGAGTTCAGGAGGTATAAGATCATCCAATTCGTCCAAAATTTCTGCCCCAACCTCGGGCACTACAACCATCTTGTCAGATCTCCACCTAGATCATGAGGTATGCCATCTCACCCTTCTGCAACCCATATTTCAGTTGCATAGTGGACTAGATCGCCACATTTTGCTTGCCATCCCACTTACTTTGATATGCCACAACCACAAGGAGAATGCACATTGCCCTCTCGCCTAAAATTGGCATTCCATTCAAATGTTGCATTAAAGGCAGCTTGGCTTTGATAAACAACTCATTTCTGAGCATGGCTTAAACTTTGTCCAAGGGTATAACCAGCATTTACAACCACCAAAAAATTTTAAGAATGTTTAAAGGTTAACAAGAATGACAGCCGCACTTGGTAGGTTTATATCCCAAGCGTCCAATAAATGCAAACCGTTCTTCTAGTCCATCAAAGGAAAGGAAGGCAAAATTTGGGATTTGGAATGCAAAGAGGCCTTCAGGAAGTTAAAAACCTACTTAGCTGCTTTGCCACTTGTAACTGCACCAGTGTTTTGGACCCGATAGTCGATGCATATCCGCAGCTAACCATCTTTCTTCTTTTGGAACAATAGTTGGACTCTATATGGCACCTTCGAGGGCTTCATGTTCCTAGAACCGAGCAGTTCGTTCAACTACCTCCTCTATTCTACCAGTTGCACATGCGACATCGAAAGGGGGCACAATCTAGAAGCTTTGAACTAGGCACTAGCCCATTGTTGTCGCCCACTGCACGTGAAAGAAAAAAGGTCTAGGGGAGTTCAGGAGGTATAAGATCAACAAACTCCTCAATAATTTTTTCCCCAACATCGGGCACTTCAACCTTCACGTCAGATCTCCACCAAGATCATGAGGTATGTCATCTCACCCTTCTACAACCCATATTTCACTTTCATAGTGGACAACATCTCCCCCTTTTGCTTGCCATCTCTCTTACTTTGATATGCAACAACCACAAGGCGAACGCATGTTGCCCATTCACAGAAGATTGGCATTCCATCCAAATGTTGCATCAATGCCAGCTTTGCCTTGATAAAGAACTCATTCCTGAGCAAGACTTCAAATTTGTCCAAGGGTATAACCACCGATTACAACCACCAAAAAATTTTAAAAATTTTTAAAGGTTAAGAAGAATAACAGCCGCACTTGGTTGGTTTATATCCCTAGCGTCTGATAAATGCAAACCGTTCTTCCAGTCCACCAAAGGAAAGGAAGGCGCAATTTGGGATTCGGAATGTAAAGAGGCCTTCAGGAAGATAAAAACCTACTTAGCCGCTCTGCCACTCCTAACTGCACCCTCGTTTTGGACCCGATAGTCAATGCATATCCGCAGCTACCAAATCCTTCTTCTTTTGGAACCATAGTGGGACTCTGTGTGGCACCTTGGAGGGCTTCTTGTTGCTAGAATCGAGTAGTACGTTCAACAACCTCCTCAATTCTACTTGTTCCACATGCGACATCCAAATGGGGCACATACTTAAAGCTTCGAACTAGGCTCCTGCCCAATTAAGTGGTCAACTACACGTCTAAGTTGAAAGGTCTAGGGGAGTTCAGGAGGTATAAGATCATCCAATTCGTCCAAAATTTTTGCCACAACATCGGGCACATCAACCTTCACGTCAGATCTCCACCAAGATCATGAGGTATGCCATCTCACCCTTCTGCAACCCATATTTCAGTTGCACAGTGGACTAGATCTCCACATTTTGCTTGCCATCCCACTTACTTTGATATGCCACAACCACAAGGAAAACACATCTTGCCCTCTCACCTAAGATTGGCATTCCATTCAAATGTTGCACCAATGCCAACTTGGCTTTGATAAACAACTCATTCCTGAGAATGGCTTAAACTTTGTCCAAGGGTNTCCCTAGCGTCTGATAAATGCAAACCGTTCTTCCAGTCCACCAAAGGAAAGGAAGGCGCAATTTGGGATTCGGAATGTAAAGAGGCCTTCAGGAAGATAAAAACCTACTTAGCCGCTCTGCCACTCCTAACTGCACCCTCGTTTTGGACCCGATAGTCAATGCATATCCGCAGCTACCAAATCCTTCTTCTTTTGGAACCATAGTGGGACTCTGTATGGCACCTTGGAGGGCTTCTTGTTGCTAGAATCGAGTAGTACGTTCAACAACCTCCTCAATTCTACTTGTTCCACATGCGACATCCAAATGGGGCACATACTTAAAGCTTCGAACTAGGCTCCTGCCCAATTAAGTGGTCAACTACACGTCTAAGTTGAAAGGTCTAGGGGAGTTCAGGAGGTATAAGATCATCCAATTCGTCCAAAATTTTTGCCACAACATCGGGCACATCAACCTTCACGTCAGATCTCCACCAAGATCATGAGGTATGCCATCTCACCCTTCTGCAACCCATATTTCAGTTGCACAGTGGACTAGATCTCCACATTTTGCTTGCCATCCCACTTACTTTGATATGCCACAACCACAAGGAAAACACATCTTGCCCTCTCACCTAAGATTGGCATTCCATTCAAATGTTGCACCAATGCCAACTTGGCTTTGATAAACAACTCATTCCTGAGAATGGCTTAAACTTTGTCCAAGGGTACAACCATTAATTACAACCACCAAAAAATTTTAAGAATGTTTAAAGGTTAACAAGAATGACAGCCGCACTTGGTAGGTTTATATCCCAAGCATCCGATAAATGCAAACCGTTCTCCTAGTCCACCAAAGGAAAGGAAGGCTTAATTTGGGATTTGGAATGTAAAGAGGCCTTCAGGAAGTTAAAAACCTACTTAGCTGCTATGCAACTCGTAACTGCACCATTGTTTTGTACCCAATAGTCGATGCATATCTGCAGCTAACAATCTTTCTTCTTTTGGAACAATAGTGGGACTCTGTATGGCACCTTGGAGGGCTTCAGGTTGCTAGAATCATGCAGTTCATTCAAATACCTCCTCAATTCTACTAGCTCCACATGCGACATCCAAAGGGTGCACAATCTGGAAGCTTTGAACATGGCTCCTGCCCAATTTTGTGGTCAACAACAAGTCTGAATAGAAGGATCTTTGGGAGTTCAGGAGGTATAGGATCATCAAATTACTCCATAATTTTTGCCCTAACATCGGGCACTTCAGCCTTCACATTAGATCTCGACCAAGATGATAACGTATGTCATCTCACCCTTCTTCAACCCATATTTCACTTGCTGCTATGTAAAGAGGCAAAATTTGGGATTTGGAATGTAAAGAGGCCTTCAGGAAGTTAAAAACCTACTTAGCTGCTATGCAACTCGTAACTGCACCATTGTTTTGTACCCAATAGTCGATGCATATCTGCAGCTAACAATCTTTCTTCTTTTGGAACAATAGTGGGACTCTGTATGGCACCTTGGAGGGCTTCAGGTTGCTAGAATCATGCAGTTCATTCAAATACCTCCTCAATTCTACTAGCTCCACATGCGACATCCAAAGGGTGCACAATCTGGAAGCTTTGAACATGGCTCCTGCCCAATTTTGTGGTCAACAACAAGTCTGAATAGAAGGATCTTTGGGAGTTCAGGAGGTATAGGATCATCAAATTACTCCATAATTTTTGCCCTAACATCGGGCACTTCAGCCTTCACATTAGATCTCGACCAAGATGATAACGTATGTCATCTCACCCTTCTTCAACCCATATTTCACTTGCTGCTATGTAAAGAGGCATAATTTGGGATTTGGAATGTAAAGAGGCCTTCAGGAAGTTAAAAACCTACTTAGCTGCTATGCAACTCGTAACTGCACCATTGTTTTGTACCCAATAGTCGATGCATATCTGCAGCTAACAATCTTTCTTCTTTTGGAACAATAGTGGGACTCTGTATAGCACCATGGAGGGATTCATGTTGCTAGAACTGAGCAGTTCGTTCAACTACCTCCTCTATTCTACCAGTTGCACATGTGACATGNAGCTGCTATGCAACTCGTAACTGCACCATTGTTTTGTACCCAATAGTCGATGCATAACTGCAGCTAACAATCTTTCTTCTTTTGGAACAATAGTGGGACTCTGTATAGCACCATGGAGGGATTCATGTTGCTAGAACCGAGCAGTTCGTTCAACTACCTCCTCTATTCTACCAGTTGCACATGTGACATGCAAAGGGGGACCAATCCAGAAGCTTTGAACTAGGCACTAGCCCAATGTTGTGGCCCACTACACGTGTGAGAAGAAAGGTCTAAGGGAGTTCCGGAGGTATAAGATCAACAAACTCCTCAATAATTTTTCCCCCAACATCGGGCACTTCAACCTTCACGTCAGATCTCCACCAAGATCATGAGGTATGTCATCTCACCCTTCTACAACCCATATTTCACTTTCATAGTGGACAACATCTCCACCTTTTGCTTGCCATCTCTCTTACTTTGATATGCAATAACCACATGGCGAACGCATGTTGCCCTTTCATATAAGATTGGCATTCCATCCAATTGTTGCATCAATGCCAGCTTTGCCTTGATAAAGAACTCATTCCTGAGCAAGACATGAAATTTGTCAAAGGGTATAACCATCAATTACAACCACCAAAAAATTTTAAAAATGTTTAAAGGTTAACAAGAACGACAGCCGCACTTGGTAGGTTTATATGCCAAGGGTCTGATGAATGCAATCCGTTCTTCCAGTCCATCAAAGGAAAGGAAGGCACAATTTGGGATTAGGAATGTAAAGAGGCCTTCAGGAAGATAAAAACCTACTTAGCTGCTCCGCCACTAGTAACTGCACCATTGTTTTGGACTCGATAGTCAATGCATATCCGCAGGTAACCATCCTTATTCTTTTAGAACAATAGTGGGACTCTTTATGGCACCTTGGAGGCCTTCAGGTTGCTAGAATCGAGTTGTTCGTTCAACAACCTCCTCTATTCTACTAGTTCCACATGCGACATCCAAATGGGGCGCATGCTAGAAGCTTAGAACTTGGCTCCTACCCAATTAAGTGGTCAACTGCACATCTAAGTTGAAGGGTCATGGGGAGTTCAGGAGGTATAAGATCATCCAATTCGTCCAAAATTTCTACCCCAACATCGGGCACTTCAATCCTCACGTCAGATCCCCACCCAAATCATCAGGTATGCCATCTCACCCTTCTGCAACCCATATTTCAGTTGCATAGTAGACTAGATCTCCACATTTTGGTTGCCATCCCACTTACTTTGATATGCCACAACCACAAGGAGAATGCGTATTGCCCTCTCACCTAAGATTGGCATTCCATTCAAATGTTGCATTAATGTCAGCTTGGCCTTGATAAACAACTCATTCCCGAGCATGGCTTAAACTTTATCCAAGGGTACAACCATCAATAACAACCACCNTAATGTCAGCTTGGCCTTGATAAACAACTCATTCCCGAGCATGGCTTAAACTTTATCCAAGGGTACAACCATCAATTACAACCACCCAAAAATTTTAAGAATGTTTAAAGGTTAACAAGAATGACAGCCACACTTGGTAGGTTTATATCCCAAGCGTCCGATAAATGCAAACCGTTCTTTTAGTCCATCAAAGGAAAGGAAGGCGAAATTTGGGATTTGGAATGTAAAGAGGCCTTCTGGAAGTTAAAAACCTACTTAGCTGCTTTGCCCCTCATAATTGCACCATTGTCTTGGACTCGGTAGTCGATGCATATCCGCAGCTATCCATCTTTCTTCTTTTGGAACAATAGTTGGACTCTGTGTGGCACCTTCGAGGGCTTCATGTTGCTAGAATCGAGCGGTTTGTTCAACTACCTCCTCTATTCTACCACTTCCACATGCGACATCCAAAGGGGGCACAATCTAGAAGATTTGAACTAGGCTCCAGCCCAATGTTGTGGTCCGCTACACGTGTAACAAGAAAGGTCTAGGGGAGTTCAGGAGGTATAAGATCACCAAACTCTTGAATAATTTTTCCCCCAACATCGGGAATTTCAACCTTCACGTCAGATCTCCACCAAGATCATGAGGCATGTCATCTCACCCTTCTACAGCCCATATTTCACTTTCATAGTGGGCAACATCTTAACCTTTTGCTTGCCATCTCTCTTAGTTTGATATGCAACAACCACAAGGCGAACGCATGTTGCCCTCTCACATAAGATTATCATTCCATTCAAATGTTGCATCAATGCCAACTTTGCCTTGATAAAGAACTCATTCCTGAGCAATACTTCAAATTCGTACAAGGGTACAACCACCNTTCAAATGTTGCATCAATGCCAACTTTGCCTTGATAAAGAACTCATTCCTGAGCAAGACTTCAAATTCGTACAAGGGTACAACCATCAATTACAACCACCAAAAAAATTTAAAAATGTTTAAAGGTTAACAAGAATGACAGCCGCACTTGGTATGTTTATATCCCAAGCGTCCGATAAATGCAAACCATTTTTCCAGTCCATCAAAGGAAAGGA